GTATGAGGAAACTTCCTTTAACTTACACAATTTACCACTATGATGTTATTACTTGACTATTGTATTAAACGAAGAATAGAAAAATCCAAAGTGCAGCTATAGGATTTAACATTTGAATGCACAATTGTTATTGAATGTCAAGATAAAATTGTCTGGCTAAATTCGCCATTCCTAAACTAGAGTCTACCTTTTTTTTTTTAACACAGGACTTTACTGGTGGTAATCTGCAACACAGGTTTGAAGAGCAAATGTGACGTATCGGGAGTTGGGGGTGACCATGATGCCTGGCCCCACACCCTTAGCTTTGTCTTTGAAAGTATGAGCCAGGACATTAAGGTGACCATTGCTCCAGTCGCTCTGACAGCCTTCACAGGTGCTGCTCTTGGAGAACTGCTTTCTCTTGGTGATTCTAGCCTATGCTCTGGTAGAAGCATGGGTTCTGGCCTATCTATTCTTAATGATACAAGGCCAAGAATGGGGAATTCAGCTTCAGGTCTGTATAATTAGGCCAAATAACATCCTTCTGGCATTTATTTCCGTAACAACTTTCTCAAAGAGTGAAGAATGGAAAGGTTTCTGGGCAGCCTAATTAGAAATTAAGTTATGCTGGGCTAAAATATCAAGAGTTGCAGTGATGGACCAAAAGCATTTTTTCTGGGAATATAACTAAAAGATACTCTTGCCTCCTAAATGTTTCACAGGGTCCTTGCACATCATTTTTCTTCAAGCCACATTTTATCACATATAGTAACCTGTCAGTTTACTAACTTTTCTGGTTTGTCCTTAAAAAAATTAACAGAAAAGGAAAAGTTTGCAAACCCAGAGACAATCTGACCAAGAGGCGCTGGAAGAACATATCTTAAGCCAAGATCCCAATATGGAAACTGGGCTAAAGGCTATGCTGTGAAGTCCAGCCATGGAAACTTGACAATGAGTAAGCAGCAGCTTCTTCCTCTTACAGGTCTCTCTCACCCAAATACGTACCCTCATAACAAAATACACCTGCACCCAGAACACAGAGACCTACAAATACCTAGGGCTGAGCTTGTACCCGGAGATGTTGAGGCACTGTGCTTCTTACAGAGTGGGTATAAAGAAAAGCAAAGGAAAGTAGAGTAGAAGGGAGAATGGTACTTCTACTCATTCATTTCAAAATATTGTCCTTTTTCAAGTATTTCTTAGGTTTCAAAATGTGTAAGCCATATTTTATGCTTTCTTAAGAACTATTTCACAATTGATTTACTTCTGGCTTATTGAAAAATGAAAATTGCCATTTTTCACTTTTTAAAAAAATTCTTTTCCTGTCTTTCAGAATGTTCAGACTAGGCCCACTAAGTTGTTTTGCTGTCCTTAAAGTTGTTTTCTCTCATCTGTTTCGTATTACTTCCTGCTCCGCTTTCTTCCATACTCTTATGTTTATGGATTGAGAAACTCCAAGTGTTACCAAGCAAGGTCTGTCTGCCCAATATACATAGAAACCAATCCATGGCACCGCCTTGGAAGAAAAGGCTTTATTTTGAGGTTGACCAGGAAGGAGACGGGAGGCAAGGCTCAAATCTATCCCCAAGATCCAGAGTTCAGTGCAGGAGAGTTTTAAGGGACTAGGGGGAACAGGCTGGTGTGTGGAAGTGCTGGTGGGGCAGGTTTCAATAGGAGGGTTTTTAAATTGGACCATTCATGGTAAAATATGATAAGGGGCTTCAGCCCTGGATCTTTCTGGACAATGAACCCTTTGCTTATGAAGGGGTTCTGGTGTTCCAAGTTCTGGTCATGTCCTGGTCCTTTGGTTTCATGGACAGATGTAGGGGGTTTGAAGGGGCAACTTTGGCTCTGGGTACAAGTGGAGGTCCAACTCCTCTCCGCTGTACATGCTTAAGCTTTGGCATGACTTGCACATCTGGTCTGTCCTCTGAAAAGCAACTCAATATCTTGTTAGAAACAGGGTAGGACCAGTTTGAGCTGGTTCTATGGTTATATGAAGTACCATTTTATCCACCATTGGAAAGCACTTTGGTGCTTGAAAGGGTCTTGTATGATCCTAAAGCTGAGGCAGGACTTGAGCTGAGCCTGCAGGACATGCAGCAGAAAATGGAAGTGACTTGATTTTATTTTATCACACAGGATACAAAAATAAAGTCTTCTCTGATGGGAAACTAATATACTTTATAAATCTTTTATAAGGTTAGTTATTCTGGAGGGTATTTTCTTCCCCGAAGGTACTACATACCCTACTAATTTAAACTAGATGCTTCTCTATCTTAAAGGGGTCAGCATCCTCATAAATGGTATTGGAAGGAACGTGGAAACCAAGACAGTTTGGGCATCTTGGCTCTTTTGTCAGACTGTTGTTAAAAAAACAAACTTCAATTGAGTAAACTTCCAGATCTACTTAGCTGCATTAAATAATCCATAAATTAGACATTATCTCACCCAGCTGCTAGAAAGGCCCCAAGAGGTTGTACAAAATGGAAGGTGCTTATAAGAATAAGGGTGGGGAAATGGGTTTTTAATAAAAGAAAAGAAAGGATGATTTGGGCTCATACGTCTTTTCTTTGGTGGGAAAGAATGGGAAGGGTTTTTATCATGCCGATTTCCTCTTCTTTCTAAGGGGGATGGAGGGAGCCCAGGTGACAGATTGATTACCTGACTGGTGTTTGACCAGAAAACTCCAGACTAGTTAAGGTTGTTTCTCAGAGGTTAAAACTGCAATTAGGTCAGATGTTAAATGTAGGTTTGGTATTTAGCATGAGTCATGCCAAAGTCTAAATTCAGGGTCGATTTTGAAGAACTGACAGGAAGCCTTATTCAAATTCATAGGAGTTTTAATAGGAACAACTTACTAGGGTAAAGCAGTTGCTCCCAGTGTGCCTGGAAAAATCCAAACCCCTCCCAGGACAGGATCCCTTTGCATGGGGAATAGGGTGCGTAGCCAGGTAGACCCCCCAAAAGAGCAATTCTTGACTTAAAAACAGGCTATTATCACACTCTGTACATTCACTGAGCTCCTTCCTGGGGGCGTGATATTTATTTTTGGGTGGTATTCCAGTCTTCTGGGGAGTGAGCCAAGCCTGAGGCTACAGAGAGTTAAACAGAAGGTTCAACATACACCCAGACACCTTTGCTGCTGGAGCCATATTGCATCTAAAGTGAGCTCCCCAAAAGATGTCATTTTGGGTTTGTGGTTTTCTTCTAAACAGTGTCTTCAAAAATTCCTTGGAAGAGTAAAATAAATCAGCTCTATTTATGATTTTCATACATCTATGGAATGCATAAGGCATGGTTCTGAGACATTGTTCTAACTCAGTTGTTAAAAACAAACTGTTAAAGAGAAAAACCATAGGCCCCAAATGGCCTCACTTGTGCTAAATCTCATGATACCAAACCTAGATTTACTACCTGACCCATTGCTGTTTCAGCCTCTCCCAGAAATACAATCTTAATGAACTAGTCTGAATTTTCCCTGTAAACACCAATGAGGTAATTCAGCGACTTTCAACTGGTGTACTGCAAGGGGCACACTGCTGTGCCACAAGAAATTTTAGAACATGCAATACCTGACTACTTAGTTAGGGCCAGTGACCTCTTTTACCTTAGATTGTGAAATAAAAAAGTGACAGCTGCCAATACAACAATAGTCATTTGGTGTGAATGAATCAAAATTATATCTATTTTTTGTCAGATTGACAGAAATATATATATTTTGGTATGCTGCAGAATTTTAGTCATTAGTTTATGTGTGCCATGAGAAGAAAAAGTTTAAAAATGGAAAGTTGTTTATGTGGGCTTTCTCTGCCTCAATCCCCAGTAGAAAGAAGAGGCAATCTGCATGATAAAAACCCTTGCTGCCTGCCACCACCCAAGAAGTGTTGCTCTAAAAATATTTTTTTATTTTCTTCTGTTAATAGTTCCCTTGTCCTGAAACTGGAAAAAAAAAACAAAGCAAAACAAACAACAACAAAAACAACTGGCGCTTGTGCTAGCTGTTACATACCAAACCCAATAAGCAGAGACAGGGATTGAACCTTTATGGGCGCTTTATTCAGATGGCCTGCCACCTGCGAAGACGGCAGGTTCATACCCTAATGACCTTTTTAAATTCCATTTTAAAATGGCCTACTTTATAAGGAGAACAAAATGTAGGTAAGGGGGTTGGAACTCAGGGAAAAGTTAATTGGATTAAAAAAACCTGCAGCATCTGGCCCTGGGGCCCTGGGCAGTGGTCACCTCACTCTGGAGCTCAATGGCTCAGATACCATCTTAAATTGTTTGCAGTCCTCCTAAGGCACAAACGTGGAACTGCTTGTGGTCTCCTGGAGTCAGGGTGGGTTGTACCTTCAGTTCCTGGAACAACAGCTTTTACTCGAATTGATTACTAAGCTTATTAGCTATTACTTAAACTAAAATTTTCCAACTCTCGAGTTCCCTACCAGTCTCACCCTTCTTCCCATAAAAACCTTTCATCTTGTATAACCCCTCCAGAGCCCTTCTTATTGCTGGAAGGGATGCTGCCCAATTTATAGATTACTTAATAAAGCCAATTGATTTTCAAGTTTATTCGGTTGAATTTTGTTTTTTAACAAATAATATCCCAAAACCTAGCGTATTGAGAAGTGGTTTTGAAACATCACCACTATTTTAGCAGCACCCTGAAGGCTTGTAAAAACATACAGGACTGGGCGCCAACCCGATATTAATTCAGTTGTCCTGGAGTCTGGGAATTTTCATTTGTAACTAGAATTCCCTGGTAGTGCTGATGCTGCTTGTTCAGACACCACACTCAGAGAGGCACCGTGCTAACTCCTCCAAATCAGGATACTTCAAGGTTCTCTGGGTCACTTCCGTGGAGAAGGCCCTCCAGTTTAGGGCCAGGTGGCATTTAGCAAAGAGGTACTGCCTGGGGCCGGCCCGAACACATTCCTTCCCAAGCGAATCATAACGCTTAAGAAGCAAAAAGGCAAGTAAGTAATCATTAGACAGCTGCCGAAGGCCAGGCTACCCGAGTTGCGGCATTCTGCTCTCGCACGTGACCGTTGGGCGTCTACACCCTCCCGGTCTTGTGCCTCCTCCCCGGCCCCGGGGCCTGACGGTCCGAGTGGGGCCGCAGGACAGCTCCAGTCTCCCCGGGCTGTGGCCTCGGCCCGCGATGGCGCTGCTGGACGCGCTCTTCTGCAGCCTGTTGGTGGCCCATCTGGGCCAACCCGGCCTCGGACTGCCCCTGGCGCCCGCCCGCGGCCAGAGTCCCGCTCCGGCGGCGGGTGAGTCACCTGTGACCCTCTCCCTCCCCGAGCCGCCTGGGAGCGCTGGGGCGGGACGGCTGCTCAAAGTCTGGAAAAGTGCTCGGGACGAGCAAGCGACTCTGGCGGGACGCCGGCGGGCCGGGGCTGCGCAGGGCGGAGCGCGGGGGACCCAAGGGCCGGGGCGCCGAGTCCACCTGCCGGGGGCAGATCGGAACTCCACCCGGGGGAAGTTCCCGCGCCGGCGGGGGCGTTCAGAGCGGGCGTGCGGCAGTGGTTTCCTTTGTGTCTCCGGCTGTTTTCTCCCCGGGGAAGGAAGGAAAAGGTCCGTGTCTGCAGGGAAAAAACTTGGGAGTTGGGTGTCTCCCACAGTCTTTAGCTCAGGGCTGAGGGGGCAGCTAGCTGAGGGCTTTCCTCCACACCGCAGGGGTGTAAATGTTGCTGGGACTTTTCTATCTTCTGTCCTGCTTCCCGAGTTTGGTGGCCGTTTCTTCCCCCAGGTGGAGTACGGTCACAGCCTCGGTGCTACCCACCCCTTAGTCTACCTTAGAACCAGTGGGGACCGGCTTTTCACTTTAGCTAGATGCTAGGCTCCCAGCCGACGCGACCGATTTCATTGGTTCTCAAAACTTAACACAGTGCCTGTTCCAGTGGTGGTTCCCAAAGTGTGGCCTGGGACCAGCAGCATCGGCATCATGTAAACTTGTTAGAAATGCAGGTTTTCAACTCCAGCCCTGGCCTGTTGGATCCGAAACTGCGAGAATCGGGGCCCAACAATCTGTTTAATAAACTCTCCAGGTGATTCTGATAGGCGCTGGAGTTTGAGAACCACTGGTCCAGAATAGATAAAAGGTGGATGAGAAATTTTACAATGCCACCTGAGCCTTCAGTTTCAAAGAACAAGGTACCCACACTTCCCAAACTCCCTTTAAAAATAATTGCTCTGTTATTTGGAGGAGAAAAATTAGATAGGCGGAGTTCTGTCCTATGTTTTCAGCATATCTGTCTCTGGAACTCAGCGCAGTGCTGAGTCCTGACACCTCTCTGTAGCTCTTCCCCTCTCATGTGATTTCTGAAATGCTCTTCGAGAAATGTCCCTTCTTGAGAGTCAAGTTCTCATGACTCAGCTGTCAGGCAGTGGAAAACAAGAAATGTAAATCAGGTTTCCCAACCATCAATCATAACAAGAAGTTGTTCCAAAACACTTATGTATGCTGGCTCCTGCTTTTATTAATTAGGTGGCTGTTTACAGTTTGGTTATAAAATGTCCCTGATTGCAAGAGATTAAACAATGGCAAGTTCACCATTTGTTTTTAAAAATCTGATTGCTGAAGGCTTCAATGACAACGTGCTAGGGCCTAGTGACTCTCCACTCACACTTCTGTGTTTTGGTAGGACAGCGACAAGGTTGAATCACCTGAGGAAGAAGAAGGGAAAGGATTAACTACAAAGAGCAGCTTACATGTTGACTCAGCAGTTTCCCACCGGATATATTATTTTACTTTTGAACTTGATGTAATCTTCCTCCTCCTCCAACCCAAAATGCTTGAATTTCCCTATAGTACCCAGCAGGACTGGCCTCTGCTCACTTGCTTGTGTGTGTGCATGCCTGTGCAAAGTCCCAGTGTCAGTTTCCTGTTCTGTGAAGTTCTGGTGGTCAGAAGACAAAAAAGCCCAGGGAAGTTTCACAAGTGTGTTTAGCCACAGCTCTTTAGCTTGAGTATGTCAGGACCTGCTGGACTATTTGGTAGAAGCTGACATAAATAAACAAAAAGCACCTATTTTAAACAGCCATATGTCCAGGCATCTGAATTATGGTTTACTAGGCTGTTTGGGATAAATTAAAACATTTTAAGATAAATAAGCTTTTTTGATATAATTTTGTGCACTTACCTAGCTATGTTAACAATATACATATACACAAACATTTGTGGAAATCTTTTTAAAGATTATCTGCACAATAAGAAAGTAATTGTGGTGTAGTGAAAAGAACTTTGGATTGTTAACTTTTGGAGTGAAGAGAATCTGGATTGGAGTGTGGGCTCTGTCACAGGCCAGCTCTATGGTCTTGGGCACAAACACACACACACACACACAGAGCATTTTGTATACAATTTTATTTAGAGGTGTGAGGTGTGGCCTCCTGAGGTTCATTATTCATGAATTCCAGGTTAAGAGCCTGTCAGAGCTCCATTCTTGGCTGCTATTTAAAGCCATCCTTCAGTGCATCTGAGTAATTACCCCTCACTTATCTGTCTGGCAATGCAATGTAGTAGAAAGAACACTGTTCTGCAAGTCTGGTTCCAAAATTGCTTTCATTGCTGAGTCACCATGTGATCTTGAGGAAATCCTGAAATCTGCCTTTGACTAATTAAAGAATGTTCATTGAGGGCCTACTCTAGGTCAGACATATTCTAGATACTAGGGCTATATAAATATAGGTACAAAATTATATCAGGGGGATGCGTCATTAATGTGTTTCTAGTTTTGCTTTACAAAAACTTAGTATATTTATAATCTCATGTCCCTTAATCATTACAGTGTCTCTTGTAGGTGTTGTCAGTATCTATTTTACACGAGGGGAATGAGAGAAGGGTGTTGGAAGGGGAGCACACACAGAAAGGCAGTGTGTGCAGTGGTTAAGAGCAAAGTGGCCTCTGGAGTCAGGTTTCCTTAATCCTTATCTTGGCTCTTTTGTGTATGATGTATGTGACTTGGGCTTGCTCTCTGTGTGTTGCAGTTCTTTATATATAAAATGGATGTAATGATGAATTGGTGCAAGTAAGGCATAAAAAACAGTACTGAATTTATAGTGAATAATAAAATTTTAACTATTCCTTGGAAATGAGGAAGTTTAATCTCAAATTCAAGCTTGGGGTTATTAAATAATAGTAGGACAACTAATGCTGAGCTTACTTGATGCCAGGCACCTTCTGAGAGCTTTACTTCTACTAAGTCACTGAACCCTCACATAGTAGGGCTATTTAGGATTGTTGCAGTATTTCAACAACTAGATTAGTAAATTGAGCTTGGATTCAAAGTCAGGTGGTCTGACTCTGGAGTCTCCACTCTTAACCATAGCACTATATGCTGTTCTGTGTACAGTTTACTATACCTTAACATTTTACTACTAATAAAATACATGTTTACACAAAAATGAGATACACTACATATTTATATGTCAAGAAAGGACAGCCTCCAGGATGATTCTGAGCCATTTGCCGGCTCCAGTTTTTGTGTTGAATAAAGATGTCTAAGCTGGAAATAAAAGTGGGATTATTTTCTGCATTATAGAATAAAATAAATCACTCTTAGCAAATGTTTTGAAACGAAGACTGAACACCAAGTAATTGACTATGAAGTCTATTTTCTGTCTACTTCTGGATCTTTTGTTTATCACCTCTTAGATGTGAACTTAAATGTGTTACAAAATCACAACAATGTTGTGAAGAAACAACCCAAATCTAACTTACCTTCTCTATCTTCAATTAACAGTTTTCAATAGTTTATTATATTATCTCAGCTTTGGGTTTTATTCTAGTGTTTGCTTACAAACATACTTAGCATTTTTCATCTTTGTATGGATAAAAGTTTGCATTCTACTTGTTTGTCCCATGCTTCTGGTGTACAAGTATATAATAGAAGGTATTCTTTTTTTTTAGTATTCTTATATTATTATTTATTATTGTATTATTTTCTTTTTTTATTTTAATCATTGTTCAAGTACAGTTTTCTCCCACCTACTCCCACTCCAGCCCACCCACCCAACCCGCCCCTCTTCCCCCCAATCACCCCCCATCCCTAGTTTTTGTCCATGTGTCTTCCAAATTTGTTCTTGTAAACCCTACCCATTCCCCCCTGAAATTCCCTCTTCTCTCCCCTCTGGGCACTGTCAGTCTGTCCCCTTATAATAGAAGGTATTCTATTAAAAAAACTCTTAAGAACTTCTGGCATTTACAGTATTTTGCTTAAAAACTAGTATTAATTTTTTTTCCCCGATTAATGTTGAGAGGCAAGCTTTTAAAGAACATAGGAGGTTTAGTTTCTGGTTCTGCAATGTACTCACTGGGTAACCCTAACAAATCATATCATATTTCTACACCAATGTTTCTATGAGAAACATGTAAATAAATGATAAAACCTTAAATTCTGGAAGGAAGGAGACATGCTATTAAAACACACTGTAATATTATTATTGACCTCCCAGAAGGATGTCTCCATATGTTTCATTAGGCAACTTGTATTTGTTACAAAGTCTTGTTAGGTGGTCACGCTGTCACAGAGCTCCTCAGTTCTGACACATTAAAGTAGTAAATTCTAGTACATTCTTCCCTGGAATTCTCATGTTCTCATAGGGAAGGGATGTATTAAGGCTCAGGTTCTCTAGCAACATAAATTACGAAGGCTTTCTTCCATCACAGGGAAGAAACTGTCTGTCATCCTACTGTAAATATTTGCATAGGAACACCAAACAAAGAAGTAGATTTAACACCATTTTCTGTTCTAATCAACAGGACAGTTCTGGCATGTGACTGACTTGCACTTGGACCCTACTTACCACATCACAGATGACCGCACCAAAGTGTGTGCTTCATCCAAAGGCTCAAATGCCTCCAATCCTGGCCCTTTTGGAGATGTTATGTGTGATTCTCCATATCACCTTATTTTGTCAGCATTTGATTTTATAAAACATTCAGGACAAGAAGTGTCTTTCATGATATGGACAGGGTAAGTTATTATGCAAGTACCATGAGTTACTCAATATTTATCTATCGTGTCTTAAGCTTCATTAGAATGATGAATTCCATAAGATTAATTATGTTTTAAAAATTATTTGGGTTTAAAAAATACTAGATCAAATTAATCAATATCATTAGAGATAAGAACAATTTTAGAATTTTGGTATTTTTTCTAGAATACACACTCTAGAAATATGTTTATGTTAACTAAGACATGAATCCATGAAGAGCACACTTGTATCAGTGTCTTGAAATATTTATTAATGTGATAGAAATCTTGATTGAATAATAAAAACAAGTGGCAACAATGTAGTTAAACTGTGATAGCAATTTCATAAACACCATCTTTTGGTAGTATAATTAAATAATTCCATCCATTATGATAGAGTGAAGAGGCCTATATTTCCTATACTTAATAGAGTGACGATGCACTATTTTAATTAATTTATACATTGTAACTCATTTAATCTTTACGTTAAATATTACTATCCCCATTTTACAGACGAGTAAATGAAGGCACTGAGCATCTAAGTAACTCATCCAAATATACACAGCTAGCTATGTAAGCTTCTAGCAAAGCTGGAATTTGAATCCAGGCATTTTGACTCTGGGATCTGTGCTTTTAATTTACCAAAAAGTTTTATCTCTTCTAAATCTGCAGCCAGGCAGTAAAATAGGATGAGATGTTTAGTTTATCTTTTTTAATTACACAAATTTTTAAAATAAGATTCTCTGTGGGAGAAAGGTAAATAAAGAGTAGTTTGTCAACTCCTAACTACACCTGCTGCTTTATGGTGGAGGTCTGCAATGACAGTACACGGAAAGGCATCACATGTAAGTCTAGTGACTTTTAATAGAAACTGATTTTGTTCTCTATGATTCTTTCTCATTTTCAGGGATAGCCCACCTCATGTTCCAGTCCATGAACTCTCAACGGACACAGTCATAACGGTGATTGCTAATATGACGACCACTGTCCAGAGTCTCTTTCCAGATCTCCAGGTTTTCCCTGCACTGGGTAATCATGATTATTGGCCGCAGGTAAATTTGACTTCACCTTTCAGAAGTACTTAAATGATTTTTCCCATGAGTAGTGTCAAAATTAGGACAGTAACTAGCTGATATAGGGTGTGGGAGTGGGGCCCATCGAGGCAGAGTGTGTTCTTAATGCCAGACATCCAGGAAGGCAAGACCAGTGTTTTGAGGATGTTAAAGTGACTCTTCATAAGTCATAAAATGTTATATCCAGAGTGAGTTTGTGGAAGCACATTACCTAATTTGTGGACTATCAATTTTTGTTTTCCTTGTAATCTTCCTTTCTCCTTTTAATTTCTCCTTTCTTTTGAGTAATTTTGTTATTTATTTGCATTTCCGTGATAAAGTTAGCAAGATAAGTTAATGTTGACAAATGTTTACATTTTTCAGAATTGCAGCGAGGCATACAAAGCTCTCCACACCCCAATCTAAGATAGATTGTGATTGAAAACTTTAAAAACATAGCAACTATCATAAGAACAGAAAGAGGGAGGTTCACATTCAAGTTGAATTTATTTATTGAGTAATGAAGATGTGATTCAAGGCAGAGACTGTATTCAGAATATTAAATGCCTGAAACAGCCTGAGCTTCAACTTTTCAGAGCAGCTGTTTGTCAAGCAGCCTGTGCATAAGAGCTGGACACCAGCCTTAGCTTCCGGTCTTGTCATAATAGTGCAGAATCTTAGATTTTGCAGATTCAAGAAATCTCAGAGATTATTTTTTAATTCAGAGGTTGGCAAACTACAGGCAGTCATCCAAATTGGCCTGCCACTTGTTTTTGTAAATAAAGTCTTATTGAAACACAGCGATTGCCGTTTGTTCTGTATCTCCTATGACTTCTTTTGTGCCAATGGCAGAGTAGAATAGTTGTGACAGAGACTGTATTGCTCATAAGCCTAAACTATTTTATCAGTTTACTGTCTGTAGAAGTTTGCTGACTGTGGTCTAGATCTACTCTTCATTTTGTAGATGAGAAAACTGAGTCCTAGAAGTGTTAAGTTGCTTGTTCAAGTGCTCACCATCACTCGTGGGCAGAGCCCACATCCTGGCTCTTTTGTGTGCAGTTAGACCAACATCCTTTCACACATCCTTTGCTCTTACCAGACTGACATACTCAACATCTCTGGTACATGATGTTTACTCCCATGCCTCTCTTTGTCTGCATGTTTCTTTTGCTTAGAATATCTTTTCCATCTCATGTAAAAAGGATGCGTCATGAGGGTTTTGATTATATTAGTTAATCTAACCCGAATACAGTGATTTTGAAAAGTTTTACTTTAGGATGAGCTTAAGTTTCAAGTGACCTCTTAGCACTGGCCTCAGTCTTAGATGAACAATACATGAGTCTTTTTGCATTGGCCTTTCAGCCAGTGATCAACTGCTGTTACCACTCAGATGTTAGACCACACGGTGCAGAGGCTTGGGGACGAACAATCTCCAGCAGCCAGTGGTTATACACGTTGCTTTTACGTGCTTTAGGTGACAGAAAGACTGGTACAGTGGAAAGGTGGGATTTAGAGTCATATCTACTAAAATTTAAATCCTTATCCCATCTTGCTTCTAATAGCTTGACTAACTTGGATATTTCACTTAATGTCCCTGATCCATAGGTCACTCATTTGTAAATAAGAGCAATAATGCCATCCTTGCAAAGTTTTTGTGAGAATATGTGACACCATATGGAAAGGGCATAGCTTCCTACCTGGCACAGAGCAAGCCCTCAGTAAGTGGAGTAGTGGTGGTTATGGCACTGAGCTGTGACATATGATACATTTCTCTAACCCCTTTGAGGAATTTTTTCTCTTTACTTTTATCTGTTTTCTTTTTATGAAGTCATGATATCACATCTTATAATAATTCAAAGATGTAGGTACTATTCAACTTCTATACTATATCTTATTGTAGGTACAATTAAAGTAAATTGCACAGCCTGTATATCTTCATTAATTTTATTCTCCTTCTACCTTAGGACTTTATATCTGAAAATCTTTCTATTATTCCACACCCATCCTTCCCACATGTTATTGTCAATAGCATGTTGACAATGCTATTTGTCAACATAGCACCGTATGTTATTGGTGGTGCTATGTTATAGCACCTTCCATCCCACATGTTATTTCAGGAATGTCAAATGTAACATGAAAGGCCCACAACAATTTTACTGGAGATTGATACCTGAGGTTGAATTCTGGTAAATGTTAGTGACAAATAGAGATAACAAGTGTAATTTCCATCAAAACCCCATAAACTTGTACATAAACAGCTCCATAAACATGCGTATACAGATACATGTCCCTCCCATTCCATCAGAAGCTGATATTAGTGTGGGCAGCCCAGGGATTCCTTCCAGTTGCCGCCCAAGAAAGCAGTTTGGGCCAGGGTCCTCATTTACCCCTAAACTGGTAAGCTAGTGCCATGAAACTTTTGGGTGGGTCCCACTGTATACTTCATTTCTTGGTAGTGGTCATGTCACAGCCCAAAAGGACTGAGATGACAGCATGGTGAAATAGATATTTAGACAGAAGTGTGATGGTGCCAAGACCTAGGATTTAGACCCAGCTCTGCAACTCACCAGTTCTCCCTGGTCAAATCACCTAACTTCTGTGGTGCTGATATTTCACATATTTAAAATAGAGAGAAAAGTGTAGAGTGAGACAGATATATGTATATATATATCTGAGATTCCACATGACCATATCAGTATGTTAGCTTCCATTTCAAAGTAAACAAATAGCTAAGACTAGGTTTTCTGATGATGGTGATGATGATGATGATGATGATGACCAATTTTTAATCAGAATGTGGGTTGGCCTAAACCATTGTGTAATTTCAGATACATGTCTCTAATCTCTAATAGAAGCTGAATGTGCTGTGGATAATTAGTTCATTAAAACAAGTCATTTGGTTATTACTTGCTCTGAAGGTATTTATACTTTCATCATGTATTAGGAATGTGCATTAAGAACTAATGTGACTTGGGTCATCTTGAAATATACCTAAGCATTTTAATTAATACTGACAGGGAAACTCCTTTAAGAAACAGGTAGAGACAGGTCTCTATCACTGATGTACAGAAGGAAATGATGATAGTGAATAAAATGACATCAGTTCTTTATTGTCATTTTTTAAATTGGAGCAATTATCCAATTTTACAAATGATTTCTAGGTTTTTATTTGGTATCTACTTTCTTAAAGTTTTGTTTTTTACTTCTCTAGAGCTTATGTCACCATACTTTATTATAATATAATAAAATATAATGATAAAAGATACTTTATGATAATAAAAGAAATGTTTGTACTTCTAGTATACTATTAAAAATCAAAATATATTGATAAAACTTAGGTTGACATAAAAGACTTCCTCAAATCAAATTTTTGTTGTTATAAATCTTTATGAAGTTAAGTAGCTTTATACTAGTGTTAACATGTCAGAGGACTTAATCTAATTTTCTCCATTCCTTCCACATGCTACGCCAGGCCCTGCATTTGGTCAGGCCCAAAGCTGCCTCTGTGTCTCTTTATTGAGCTCATTTGCACATCCATCCTATACCCTGGTCTCACTAAAATGAATTCTCTTCTCTGTATGAGTATATGGCACTGTCTTTGTGTCAGTCATTGTTTTTGTCTTTTTAAGAAAATATAGTTAATAAACAACATATTATTTTCAGGTATATAATATATAATAGTGATTTGACACATATATACCTAACAAAGTGGTCACCATGATAAGTGTAGTAACCATCTGACACTGTACGAGGCCATTATGATATTGTTGACTCTATTCCTTATGCTGTACTTTACATTTCTGTGAACTTACTGATTTTGTAACTGGAAATTTGTACCTCTTATTCCCTTTTGCCTCTTTTCTCCTTCCTCTCTGGCAATCATCAGTTTGTTCTCTGTGCCTGTGAGTCTGTTTCTGTTTTGTTTTGTTCATTTGTTTTGTTTTTTTAAGTTCCACATATAAGCGAAATCGTTAGGGATTTGTTCTTCTCTGTTTGATCCCCTTTTCTCTCAACTTGATGAATGATTACTCAAGGCCTGGTTCAGATGCTGTATTCTCTCACCACACTGACTCTTCAGACCAGACTTGATCATTCTTGCTTCTGTACTTCCAGAACCTCTGCTTTAGCACTGAGAGCATTGTGTTACAGGTGACTGATTATATTTTGCCCCTGTCTCCTCAACTAAGTTATAAATTCCTTGAAGACCAAGTCTATCTAGTATTCATCTTTTCATTTTCAGATGTATAACATAGTGGTAAGCACTCAAGCAATGTTTAATTCTTTAGCATTTCAATGGTGCATTATATTATCTGTGGCCAGGATCAGCTGCCTTCATTCACCAGCAAGGTGTACAATGCAGTAGCAAACCTCTGGAAACCATGGCTAGATGAAGAAGCTATTCAGACTTTAAGGAAAGGTAAGGGAAAGATTTACTCGTCTCTATTTTGCCTCTATTTTTGTTCATCTTGTTTAGACTTAGATCCTTATTGTTTGCTTGAGTGTGCCAATTCTGCAGACCCTCTGTACCCAGATTTTCTGGAGGCCATGAGTCATGTTTGAGGGCAGAGGAGAGAGAGTCATGGGCGGTGAATGGGCCCGGGACAAAGAGAGCAAGGCCATCTCAGAGGCTGGTTTTGATAGTAGACTCGGGTGTTCTGTCGCCACTGGTTTGCTGGTGTCAGTGGGGTTGTGCCTCCAAGCCTCCTCTGCACAGAGACTGCAGCAGCTCTGGCTTGTCTGCCATGTCTTCAGTCGTCTCTGGCAAGACCCATGTGTGTTCTCACTCCTTGGATTTTGTATTCACAATAAGTCTCACCTTCACTTCCCCAATTGTACAAAAATAGGAGTTTATATAATAATTTTTCTTTTACAAAATTCAGTACCTCATTGCCTAGTGTCAATATATTTAATTTTATTTTCATCTGAATGTTGGAACCCACTCTTGTTACCTCTGTGTGTGGAAGTGCCAGCGCTGGACCTGGCATGGGGCAGGTTTTCAGCAAGTGTTTGTAAAACCTGACTCTTAGCTGATGACTGCCTGTGTGTGGACAAACTAAACAATGAGAAATGAATATGACCGTCCTGACTGGCTTGTAAACCTTAATTAAGAATTCGCTTTCACAGTGACTGCATATCCGTGTGTGTTTTTCTAAAATGTGTTTAAATTTGTTTTTATAGGTGGCTTTTATTCACAGAAAGTTTCAACTAATCTGAACCTTAGGATCATCAGTCTAAACACAAACTTGTACTATGGCCCAGATATTGTGACCCTGAATAGGAGTGACCCAGCAAATCAGTTTGAATGGCTAGAACATACACTGAATATCTCTCAGCAAAATAAGGAGAAGGTAGATTTCATAGCTCAAAATCACCAGGGGATAAACAGAGGGCTAAATTTCTGAATTTAGTAAACTTGAGGGTGAGGGTCAGGTATTAATAAAAATGTTAAAATTTGAAGATATTTTCATATGAGACACATTATGATTTATTTTTGTTGTTATTTTGTTTTGTTTTTAATGTTTTGAGGATTGACAGCAGTTGCTATAAAAAAAGGTTGATATTGAAAAAATTGTGACGAATGTCACAGTTACATAATATTATCAACTGTATTTTAAATGAGACAAGTGCAAATATAGTGAAATTAATATTTTTCTAATTTCATCTTGGTAATTAAACAGGAGAGATGGTATAATTGCTTTCCAAATTTTAATCAATATAGTATTAATCTTGAGTATCTAAATGTCATTTTGTCATAACAAATGCGATGGCAAGTGTGCAAAAAGACCCTCAGCTGTCTTCCCGTGCTTCTGCCCCCAGGTGTACATCATAGCGCACATCCCCGTGGGGTACTTGCCCTACTCCACGCGCATTACAGCCATGAGAGAATTCTACAATGAGAAACTGGTAGATATTTTTAGAAGATACAGCAATATCATTGCAGGACAATTTTATGGACACACTCACAGAGACAGCATCATGGTTCTTTCAGATAAAAAAGGTAATATGACATTTTGTTTGTGTCTCCCCGATCCAAGATGCTAGAGCATAGCAGCAGATCTCTAGTGATTTTTACTGATTTAGTAAATGAGGTGTTTCATTAAATCGACCTGCCAGCACCAGATTGTACTTAGTCGCCGTCTATAATGGAATGGTGAGTGGCCACACCAGAGCAGGGCCTGAAGTCGGGTTTTTCCTGTGAGCCCCACAGGGCCGCTGACATTTGATTGCCATCATCAGAACACAAGAGCCTCTGAAACCCTCAGCTCACTCAAATTTTCTTTTACACCCTCAAGTTTAGAGAATTATTACTGTTTGATGTTTACCTGCTAGACTCAAGTTGTTTTTGAGATGACTTGTTTTCGTTCTCCTAATTTAAAAACCAATGCATAATTTACTGTTGGTTTAAAGTAAAACGTAATGAGCTCTCACTTTTAAGTGCTTACAGACATTGTCATCTACTCGTCATTAAAAGAAAAAAAAAACAGAAGAAACTCCAGCATCAAACAAAACAATTATGTATTTTTAAAAGTGATTCCTGCATGAGGACAGAAAACTGAGTTAACAGAACAAGAGTTCTGATTTTACAACAGTCAGCCAAGAGAAAAAATATATATATATTTCATATATATAAATATATATATTTCAATAATTGGGTAACATTTTTGAATTGCTGTGTACCTCTTTCATCTAGAATGAGTGAGCTTGGTAAAAATGATCATTTTTCAGAATTTGATACCTTTATTTCTCAGAAAGAAATTTAGTTCTACGATATGTATAAAACATGGTGGCACTGTAATCAAATTTTTATTATGTAATTATTGGAATATCGTCTGAGGTGGAGGTACAAGACAAACTAGTTTTGGGTTTTTATTGTGTGTACTTGTGAGAACTTATTTTTTATCATGAAAATGTTCAAGTATATAAAAAGCAGAGAGAATGATTTAAAAAAAAACTGTGTACCATCATTTATATTTAATATCTATCAAGATTTTGCCACATATGATGCCTACCCATATTTTAGGGTTTTTTTCCTGAAGTATCTGAATGTGAATCTTAAGGTCAGATGTTTCAGCCTTACATGCTTCTGTCTGCATGGCTAAATACATGAGTTACTTACATAGTCATTGTATCATTAACTTATAGAACAAAAGCAGTGATAATTCTTTGCTCTCATGTACTACTAACCCATAATAAAAATGTCCCTAATTTCTCAAAAGTATCTTTATAGTTGTTTCAGGTAAGATTCCATCAAGGAACATATATAATTGGCTGTTAAGTCTGTCAATCTCTTAATCTGGAATTTGTTCATATTTTTAATAAAAAACTCAATTTCTAAAAAAAATATTTTTATGTGCATATGTTTTGTCCAGGAAATCCAATAAATTCTGTGTTTGTGGCTCCAGCTATTACCCCGGTGAAGGGTGCTTTACAAAAACAGACCAATAACCCTGGTCTCAGACTATTTCAGTATGATCCTCATGATTATGAATTATTGGTAAGTTGGTACAATTTTAGAACTAACCCTACACTTATGCATTTGTAGTTTTCATTGTAGTTGAATGTTTTTCATTAGTTTAGTTCAGTATTCTCAGCATAGCTAGGTGAGTTGTATTTGTTAAAGTTTTATGATGTCTTCCTTTTTTTAAATATGTATTTGGAGTGTCAGCCCTTTCCAGGTGTGGGCTTCTGCGGTCAGCCTTTGGTAGGCTGTTTCTCTGAAACTTCTCTTCCAAAGGCTTCACCTTTCAATTAGATGAAGTTTCCATTAGGTTATGTCCTCTCTGTGGACTTGTGTACCTGTTGAAATATTTCACTAAGCCATATTTGTTATTAACTACTCTTTCTTAGAACATAGCTGTGAAGGTGAGTATGGGTTCTGACCCCATACTTTCTCATGGGCTGTATTACCTAACTTCTCTGTCTGAGTCTATTCCTCTGTGCTTGGTCCATAATAAGTTCTCAATACATGTTGGAAAAAAATTTTTTAAAGAAAATAAGTTGAGTTGAACATTGATTTTTGCTGTAAAAGTTCTCTGGAGCTTGTACATGACTCTGCTTTAGATACATTTAACATTGAAAGACTGGGCTTCTAGCTTACAGGTAGTAGCTTTTTCCACAAATATACTTGGGAAAGAACTCAAAGTCTTTATTGATGTAACAGCTTTATTTTTTCCTAGATGAATTTTATGGGAGGTAGCTCTTTTATTTCTTAGAGAAGTTTTTGATGAAGGAGGTAGGGTAGGGGAAATCTAATTTAATCCATAAACATTAGATTAAATGAGGAAATAAAACTATTGACAAATAAACTAGTTCAAAGGAATTGTTTTACAACTATTAGTTGCCTGTTTTTGGATCTGAACCTTAGAAACACACACACACACACACACACACCTGTGTGTGTGTGTGTATACATATATGTGTGTGTGTGTATATATATATATGTATATATACTGACATAGAACAATGTCTGTGATGTAGCACTCAATAATTTTTGAAAGTGCAAAACAGTTTGCATAGTATGACTTCATTAAAAAAAAAGCCGAAACATAGGGAATAGGTATATATATTTTAAACATTTATTTCGTCCACAAACGTGCACCAGAGTACTGGTAAATGTTTAACAACCTGTTCACTGTGGGGGGAGAAGCACTTTGATTTTAGTGTTTGCCGAGTTCCACAATGTAAATACTCCCATCACAGCCAATTTCAAGCTGCCAAAGTCACATCAACCAACTCACAAGATTTCTGAAAATCTGACAGTAGGCTCTTGTGATCTGGTTACAAGCTGCCCCCAGTACACTGCTGATATGTACAACATTATTAGCATTGGCTACTTCTGAGGTTTGTGAATTGAAGGCTTTTTATTTTGTACATCTCTATATAATTTAGGTTATTTTATGTTATTTCATTGTTTTTAAAATGAAAAAAGTAAAGTAGATCTTCTATTGGGACTCTTTTTTTAAAAAAACAATTCTTAACTTTTTTAATGACTACAACTTTAAATTAAGAACATCACATCAGTCTTAGTAAGGACTCTTCTTGCTATGCAATGCTTTGTGGGACCTAAAATGAACCAGGCTTTCTCGCTGTTTTTAACTATAGGATATGCTGCAGTATTACTTGAACCTGACAGATGCTAATCTAAAGGGAGAGTCCAACTGGAAGCTGGAATACATCCTGACCCAGACTTATGACATTGAAGATTTGCAGCCGAAAAGTTTGTATGAATTAGCTAAGGAATTTGCAACCCCAGACAGTAAGAAATTTATAAAATACTATAATTACTTCTTTGTGAGTTATGACAACAGTGAAGTTTGTGATGAGAAATGTAAGGCCTTTCAAATTTGTGCAATTATGGCTCTTGATCATAATTCCTATGAAGATTGCCTCAAACAATATTATTATATAAGGCACAGTCTATAGTATTTCACAACTTGTGTTCATGGAAAATGTAACATTTTGTGCCTGAGATCAGTTTGTGGAAATTGTTACATAAATCTTCCTGAATTACTGAGTGGGCAAACAAAATTCCTTTCTTTGTTTTCTTTTTTATGATGTTCAAATGTACATATTTTGAATATTCTAAATTTGTATTCCATTGAATATATTTAAACTGCCCATTACTAGAATGATGTCTGGATGTTAATTTTCTATCTTCCAGTTATATAATTATATTTAATTTATGCCCTTTTTGAAATTGCCATTTTTCCATTAAAGCAAATGACTTCTTCCTAAGTATGATGACTGATTCTTAATATATTTAAATCTCATATGTAAACGGGGTTAACACTATTGATATACCCTGTCTCTTCACCAGAAAACACCATTGTCTCATTAGGGTCTGACTCCATGACACGTCACTGGTGGGTGCTGTCTGCCTTCGCACTTGAGTAGTGCTAACTTTTAAGGAGAGAATGTCACAAGCTGTTCTTGCTGTAGCTGCAGTACTAGCACAAGGCCTAAGGTCGTAGTTCAGTTTCAGAGACTTGGTAAATGATTGTTGGAATGAAGTGAAAGGTGTGAATATTTCTCAGAGAAGCACACTGGAATGCAGTGGTGGCATTTTCTTCATCACGATATTCTGAGAAGGATAAAAGTGAACTTTCATTTCGTGGGTTTGTTTTTAGGGCTCCTCCACAGTTGTTTGCTTCTCAACAACTTCTCTCAAGCTGTTGTTTGTTTCCAATCTAAGTAGGAGAATTGAAGTAGAAGAAAAGAGACAAGGCTGAGAGATGTAGGGGAGGAGATGATTGTATACCCCATACGTGGGTTTGCTGGAAAAGACATACAATCAGCAGCCTTTGGTCAGTCAATAAGGAGAGTGGAACTCATTATCCTTTTCATTAGTTTGATTTAATATAAAAAATGACTTGTAGATATAACGTGCCATCGTAATAAAACCAAATTATCTTAATATCCAGAAGGGTGAGAATGTATTTTAAAATAAGAATATTATATCTAAGAAACTATCTATGTTCATTAGGTAAACATTTTTAATTTTTTTTACATTTAAAAATATATGAGAATGCTTTGGACATGAGAATACTGAAACAAAGCAAAGACTTATTGTTATAAAATAATCATATTATTTATGTCTTCCTACCCGCAATTATATTTAAAGTTAGTATTGTCCAATGATTGCATCATATAGTTATATATTCTTACACTCAACCGGCAAATGTTTTAAGAAAACAGGCTTATGCTGTACAAGGAAAATTGGTGGAAGCCGAAGGTGCCGTGAGCTGACCTAGACAATGAGCCCCAGCAGTGAACACGAACAAGCTCGGGCTTGCAGGGTTACTGTGGAGGAAATTTCTACATCTTTTGGGGACTTGGGTAGTGAACATTTAAGACCCTTCCCACATTGTTCTACAATACTATATTTTAATGCTACCTTTTTATATTCAGTTTACTTTTCCCTTAAAATACAAATAAATGATCTTAAAATACAAGTAATATTTAGGTATGTTATCACTAGTTAAGTGAGTTTTTTAACTGTACAGTCAGAGCTGTTACAATTATTTATTGTGTTTTATCTCGGATTATGTTTAATTATAGAAAAAATGTTTTTTACATTCACAGTAAAAGTTGTCTTGATTTGCCTCTATTTATCAATAGGGCTTTGGCAAAATGTGTTTATAAAACACATTTTGTTTAGATCATTTAAACTGATACTTTCAAACCGGTTTTGTTGCAACATTTAGCCCACACTGATAGGAAGGACAGAGAGTAATGGTGAGGGAAATTGGCAAGAGTCAATATATAACCACCGGTTATAAGAGTTAATAATAACCACTGGTTCAGGTGGGTAGAGAGATTTAGAGACAAAGCATACTTGCATATGTATACTAGGAAATACCTATTTAAATGAATCTTTCTATCTATTATACAGAAAATAAATTGAACAGCCATCTCCCATCTTGAATGATGGGGAAAAAATCTTAGTAAATTCAGCATCCCTCCTAGTGGCACCTAGTCCTAGGATACCATCCGACCTTGTGTCCAGACCCCTGAGAAAATTCTGTTACTCTAGACTCTTGAAAGATAAGCTGAATCCTGCCTCTCAAATATTGTCACATCTGAATAAGTCAGTCAGAGAACGACAAATACTGTGATTTCAGTTGTGGAATCTAAAGAACAAAATAAACAAACATAATTGAAACAGACTCATAGATACAGAGAACAGGTTGATAATTGCCAGAGGGGAGAGGGTTTGGAGGACTAGGTAAAAAAGGTGAATGGATTAAGAAGCACAGACTAGTAGTTACAAAACAGTCATGAGGGTATAAGGCACAGCACAGAGAATATAGTCAATAATAGTGTATTAAGTATGTATGATACCAGGTGGGAACTGGAAATATGTTGGGGGGGGACACTTTGTAAAGTATACTATTGTCTAACCACTATGTTGTATACATGATACTAATACGAAATATATTCAATATAAACTTTAACTAAAAAATAAAATTAAAAAAATAGAGTCAACTCCAAGTTAAAAGAAAAATATTGTCACACCTACCTTGAGTGATTCTTCTATACAATGAGCTTTATGCTAAAAGAAAAACAGATGGAACTTCATTGGGCTGACAGTGTAAGTAATATGACTGCTTTCATTGTTAATACCATCAGATAAAGTTGTGGGAGAAGATAGTCTTCCCCTTCCTCTGACTGTTGGAGCTACCTGTATCTTCCAAAAGAACTGAACCACTGCAAATAACTATATTGGGTCAATTCTAAAACATAAGTTGAAGATGAAATTCCCTTTCGCTTAGCTCTTTAGTCTTTGGACTATTCCTAAGAGTACACTCCCAAAATTATATGGCAAGAATCATGTATAGGAATAACCTTTGGCAGCACTGTTTGTACAATTAATAACAATGGCATACCTGTAAACCATTTAAGCATATATCAGCACGAGAATGGATAAATGAAATATTGTTTATTCAGCATGTGGAATATTATACAGAAGTGAAAATTAACATGAATAAATGCCACCAGCATGTTAATGAGTGAAAAACACATTGCCAAAGGACAAACACAATGTAATACCATTTATATTGAACTTTAAAAATGCATAAATGGAGATATATGTAGAAGACCAAGAAGATGTGTATGTAGTAGTAGCCCAAAGTAGAGATATGTGGTAGACAAAACAGAGATATGCTAGTAAAATAAATATCAAATATAAGAGTGTTAGAGGATAGTGAATGTGAAAGTTAATAAGGGAGAGAGAAAAAGATTTAAATGTATTAGTTAAGTGTTAGTTCCTAAAACAGTCAGTGGCTATACAGATGTTTTCTCTACTTTTCTTCATACATTTTTTAATATTCCACACAATATATTCACTTTTTGTAAGGGGACATAGAGATCCAAGATATCCAACTTTGGAAGTTGGACATTTAGGCTCTTCTATGGAGAATGATTCACAGTGAATGCATGGAGATATTGGGAGGTAGGTTAAAGTAGTGCAACTAAGAGGGGAGTGCAGGTGGGTTGAGGCGGTGGCAGTGGAGAGAAGTAGCCCCTGGGGTGATATATTTTGGAAGCAGCAGCAAAAGGATTTGTTCCTGAACAGGGAGGTGGGGTTTAGAGATGAACGTGAGAAGAGTAGCATGTCCTCTCACTATGTGGTAGTAAGGAGGACTCAGTGAAGTAGGAGGCCATGTGGTGGTGATGTGATAAGATGTTGAGGGCAGGGCTCCTAGTTAGAGGCATTTGAGGTCTGAGTCCAGCTCCTTTACTCATTTCAATACAGTCAAGGCACTTACTCTGTAATTCAATTTCCTTCATCTGTCACATGAGGTAGCATTACTTGATTAATAGCATTGTCGTGGGAATTAAATGAAAATATGAAGTTCATAGTCCAGTTTTTGGACATAGCATTTTGTCAAAGCTATGAATAGTAACACTATTTAACGGTATTAGAGGCCCAAAGGGAGCAAGTGGATTTGACAGGGAAATGGACTAGTGCAGGACGAGGATGAAGATAAGGGAAACGGTCTCACACTTTTCAGTGTTGCTCTGGGGAACAGTCAGTTTATACAAAAATAAAGCCATAACCACTGGGTTTTGGATGTCACCATTCCTTCCACAAACATGTATGGATATCCTTTAATGTTCCAGGAACTGTTCTATGTTGGGAACCGCCCTGACTGGTATTAGAAGCTGAGACCCCCGCCTAGGCTAAGGCTAAGGGAACGCCCTTGGAACCGTGAGCCGGCAAGGAGACAAAAGCTTATCTTCCTGGCAGTAATGCTGTTTCTGCTGCTGAACCCCAAAAGCTTGGTCGGTTAGCCAAAGACGGGTAAGATTCCCCACGGGGGAACAACCCAAGCCAGGCACGATCACTTTGGGAGGCCCCCCAAAAGAAGGACTTGGGGGGCTGCAGCAAAAGGGGGTGATGGACCCTCACTCCTCGGCTTTGACAAAGTCTGAGTTCTCAGCATCCGGAAGAAAATCTCCTTATCTCTCGGTGGCCTTAGTTCCTGCGCTCCACCTAAGCCTGAAACAATGACGGGGAAGTACAGCTCGGTACTGGGAAGTGCGGATTTCCCGGGGTGATCAGGCCTAAGAAAGAACATGTAAATTACTGTGAAACCTTCTTTGTTCAAGAATGCTCTCAGTTGAATGAGGAGGGTCTTAGGAGGAAGCTAGTTTGTTCCTCAGCCTTACAGCTCTTTGACCCCCAACTCAATAGACCGGCAGAGTTCTTTGTTTTATATATTCCTTACTTCCCCCTAATGAGTACTGTACTTTACCTGAATTATTATGCAAAATGAGCCTAATAAAAGCAGGTATGGACGGTGGATCAGCGCGCTCCCCACTAGGGGGGTGGCCATTCTGTCCCTACTTCCCCACAGAAACTGGTTTGTCTCTGTGCATGTGTGTTTTTTCTCGCGTATTGTCGAGCCATCCACAGTGTGCCGTGGTCACTGCTGGCCGGTGACCCACGCGCAACAGTTCTAGGTGCTAGGGATGCAGTAGTGAACGAAGATCCCTGACCCTGTGGAGCTCAGCTTAGCACACACACTAGTGTGTGTGTGTGTGTGTGTAGACAGCTTATTAGGAACACTGATTGCCTTTGGGCCACATCACACATAATTAAAACAGATGTAACAATTGAAAAATTTAACAAAGTTACCTTCACTACAATGGGCTCCATTCCTAGAGAACTAATTAGTGGGGGTTCTGATGTCATGAAACAAATGTCAGAAAAACTGATACTTATATTACAA